GGAGAAGACCCAGAAGGTGGAGAAGGCCCTGGAAGTTGAAGCCCCTGGTAGTTGGAGGAGCTCTGGGAAGGGGGAGAAGACCCAGAAGGTGGAGAAGGCCCTGGAAGTTGAAGCCCCTGGTAGTTGGAGGAGCTCTGGGAAGGTGGAGAAGCCCCAGGAAACTGGTCCCATCACTGACTCATGGACAACCTCCCTCCAAGACCCCAAATGTCCTCTTCCATGGCTGGTTCTGGTCTAGAAGGGTCTCCTCCCACCAAGTTCCATGAGATTTCCTCTTAAAGTCCCACCTCACCCTTACCCAGGAGGCTCCAGCCCATCATGGTCCTTCTGAAGAGCCGTCCCGCCCTCCTCCACCCTCCTTATCTGCTCCCTCACATCTGGTGGGACCGAAAAAGGGGTAGAGGAGACGGAGGAAGGAGGAACCTGTCCTCTTCTCAGTCCTCTCCGTGCACCCTTTTCAGCCAGGTGGAGGAAGGTCCTCCTCTTCTTCCCCACAAAGCCAAGCTCCTTTGAGGTGGGTTGGGAAGAGCCATGGCTACCTGGAGCCCCACAGAAAGCCTGCAGAGTGAAGCCTCCTGCTCCATCTGCCTGGGCTTCTTCCAAGACCCCGTCTCCATCCACTGTGGACACAACTTCTGCCGGGGTTGCATCTCCTGTTGTTGGGAAGGTCTGGAGGCCCCTTTCTCCTGCCCCCAATGCCGGCAGACGGCCCCGCAGAAGAGTTTCCGTCCCAGCAGAGAGTTGGCCAAAATTGCCGAAATCGCCGGGCGCCTCAGCCTGGAGGTGGGAGGAGGAAGAGGAGGAGGAGGATGGGAGAAGGTGTGTAGGCAACACCAGGAGGTTCTGAAGCTCTTCTGCAAGGAGGACCTGCAGCCCATCTGCGTGGTCTGCGACAGGTCCCGGGTTCACCGCTTCCACCCCGTGGTCCCCGTGGAAGAAGCTGCCCAAGAATATAAGGTAAAAAAGCCCCGGGGGGAGGGAAAAAAAAACACCCTTTTTCCAAGGAAAAAAACGCGTCCCCCCCCACCCTCTCCGTGGGGCGGCCACCCACGGGGATTTTCGGGTGGCATTTGCCCAAGGTTGGAACTCGATGGTCTTCAAGGTCCTTCCCAACCCAACCCAACCCAACCCAACCCAACCGTTGATTCCTCTTGGCGTTTCATTGCACGGATCGTTGGGGTTTTGTGGTTTTTTGGGGATGGTTTTGCGTTTTTGGGGATGGTTT